CATGTTTTATACAGCAGACATGCTCTAATCTTGTATTTTATGGAGGCTGTATTCAACCCAAAGCTCTTTGAACAGTTCTGGGAGCTGTAGAGACAACCTGTATTCATATTTAGACTGGATTTCAGTGGCCAGTGTTGCTGATGTTGTGCAAGCCAACTTGGGTGTGGAAGCAGTATCACCATGCTCATGCAGGATGCCTCTCAAGCCAAAAAAAGCTCTGCTGAGAAGTGCCACGAGTAGTGGTCGTTGTCCTGGCCTTGGAGCTGTGTGTACTCAGCTGCAGTTGCTCAGCCTGAGCTGGTTTAAGTGCCTGGCACAGGGCTCTGTCTTTCAGAGTGATGAGCTCAGGTAGCCCAGCACCTCCTCGGGGACCTCTGTGTGGAAGGTCTGGGGGAAGCCTGCAGGTGTCTGGGTATCTTTGTGTGGAATAATTCAGGGAGCCTGTTGCTCTGTGTTTCCTCACTCTCTGCTCCTCGTTCCTCATGTGCTGTTTCTCCTCCCTCTTCCCAATTCCCCAAAGTCTCTGGTCCAGGGCACCCTTCCCACCAACCTGCCAACAGAGATGCCCCAGCTGATCCCCGTGTTCCCAGGGGGCACCCCCCTGCTGCCTCCAGTGGTGACAGCCAGCATCCCTGTCTCCACCCCCCTGCCTCCTGCCTCCTTCGGCCTGGTGATGGATCCCAGCAAGCAGCTCTCCTCCTCCTCTGTCCTGGAGACCTTCGAGGCCCAGCCAGGAGGAAGTGGTGGCTCCACCTTAGATTCCCTGGATTCCCTGGATCTGCTCCCCTACACAGACACACAGCTGGATGCCCTGGACTCCTTTGGGACAAACAGAGGGTCGCTGGATGCCTTGGATTCCTTTGCCACTGGTAAGCGTGGGGCTGTTGCATCCCAAAATGACTTCCTTCAGTGCTGAGGACAGCTGTCATATGGCTCTGTCTGCTGGTGCTGCAGAACAGGGATGGAAATGCGGAAGAGGACAGAGCAACTGAGTGTGGCTAGCTCAGGAGTAATGAGAAAGACTGTGGGTGGATAATCGCAGATCACCAGTATGTGCATGGTGTGAAATCTCAGAGGAGAAAGGAATGCAAAGGTGTATAATGATGAGCAATGAGATTTCAACCTGGCTTGGTGTCCAGGACACCTCCCTTACCACAATTTGCTGGACTGCGGCATGGTTTTTGCACCCTTCCCAGTGACTCTTTGACATTTTGGACCAAATGAGTAAAATCACTCAGATCAGCCTTCTACTGGGAAGAATGGTGGAGGCCAAGGTGGGTGTAGAGCTAAGTCCCCTCCTGTCCCAGGAAGGAAGACAGGCTTCTTCTTAGCTAACTTGTCACCACTGTTGCAGTATATTGGCAGCAGTAATATTCTGGGAAGCACAGAGATTGTCCAGTCAGCACTTCAACACTCAGATCCACCTCAGTATTGGACTACCTTGGAGTTGCCCTCTTGCAAATCCCAGCACTCAGCAGCACAGAGTTGGGTTCAGTAGAGTCTGGGGGACAAGAAAGCCTGTCCTGGAGTTTTTGCAAGACTTAAGACAGGTGATCTGAGGGCAAAAGTATTAAAATGTTCTGAAATAAATAAAACAAATGTGTTTAATAAGCATCTGTTTGCTTTCTTGTGAGCAGAACTGCCTCTGAAAGTGAACTGATTGGTTTTGTTTTGTGGGGCTCTTTTCCTCTTCTTTTGCCCAGAAGAAACTGGCCCTCAGGAGCTGCGCCACCCACCTGGCAGCCAAAAACCATCCCCTGTGGTGAGTGAGCCACTCCCCCGTGCTGATGTCCCACGGTGCTCTGGAGCCAAGGTAGTAGTGACTTGAGTGATGTAGGTAACTTGGGCTTCTCCTCTTTGCCCCTCTGAGTGTTGCCTCCCATATTGTGCTCCCCAGAGTCAGTAGGAAGGTGTTTGTTCCATCTTCATTTTTGTCTACAGCTGTGCCTGTTGCTGAGGTAAACATGGTGGGACTGAAGTTGGAGGCTCAAATCCACATTGTTTTTAAATATCTCCAGGGCTGGTGGTTCAACCATCTCCCTGGGCAGCCTCTTTCAGGGCTTAACAACCCTTTCAGTGAAGAAGCTTTTCCTAATATCCAACCTAAACCTCCCCTGGTGCAACTTGAGGTTGTTTCCTCTTGTCCTGTCACTTCTTAGCTGGGAGAAGAGACCAACCCCTCACCTCTCTACAACCTAATTTCAGGTAGTTATAGAGAAGGTCTCCCCTGAGCCTCCTTTTCTCCAGGCCAAACAACCCCAGTTCCCTCAGCTGCTCCTCACACGACGTGTGCCCTAGGCCCTTCACCAGCCTCGTTGCCTTTCTCTGGATGTGCTCCAGCACCTCCATGTCTTTCTTGTATTGAGGTGCCCAAAACTGAGCCCAGGGCTCATCCTGCTCCTGTCCCATGTCTCTAGTCTTGGAGAAAAAGGGGAGGATTGTTCATGGCCAGCAAGCTTAGAGAAGATTCTTAATTTCCTGGTGTTCTGCTGTCCCTATTACTTCAGTGTGGAGCCAGATCTGTCCTCAGATTAATCTGCTCCCTGAAGACTCAGTGACAAGTGTTTGGTTTGGGTTTTTTTTTTTGAGACTCTTCAAATGCAGGGTTGGTTGTGATGGAGGCAATGGGAAGGAGTGAGGGGGACGTTTTCTGTTACTGCTCACCATAGAAAACTCAGATCTCTTACCAAGAGAGAAGGAGCCTTGACTTTGAAGTGAGCATACCACACTGTTTGTTTTCTTGGCAAAGGTTGCAAGCAGCTCTTTTGGAAATATAGTTTCAGATGGGGACATTTTGATGAGAGAGGAAACGAGGAAGGTTTTTGAGAGACTGGAATAGGGCAAGGGATTAGAGAGGTTTCTTAGTCATGTGGTTGCAGAGCTGAGGAGAGAGGTATGTGTGTTTTCACTCAGGTCAATGTTGGTGGAGTGAGTCACCCACCTGTGCCCAAGGTCACCGAGCACCTGCTGTCCCAGCCTGAACCAGTAATGCCCAACACAGCCCTGCTGGTGAAGAACCCCCTGGCATCTACTCATGTCTTCAAGCAAGCCTGTCATATCTGCTACCCTAAAACAGGTGACGTGGTTGCTCTGCCACCCAGAGTCTTGGCCTGGTCTGGGGTTTGGCTTTCCCCGGCTGATGGGGTTGTTCTCTCCTGCAGGGCCCAAGGCTGGTGACTATACCTATCGAGAGGGCTTGGAGCACAAGTGCAAGAGGGACATCCTGCTGGGCAGGCTGAAGAACTCAGAAGACAAGACCTGGAAGAGGATCCGTCCTCGTCCAACCAAAACCAACTTTGTAGGATCCTATTACCTGTGCAAAGGTGATCTGGGGGGGGTTAGGGCTGGGAAGGGGCTGTACAGTGTGTGCCAGGGGAGGCTGGGAGGGGAGATTCCTGTTTGTGTCACCTCCTGTGTTTGGGGTCTTCTCCTATCAACATCTTGCAGACTGGGAGGCTCAGTATAATGAAAGGCCACGAGCTCCCACACTGTGGAGAGCAGGCAGCTTTTAAAGTGGTGGAGCAGAAGGTCTGCAAAGGCATAGTGAGGTGCTGTGCACAGCCAGGCACTCAGAGCTGCCCTGTTGACACAGGATTTGATGAGAACCTGCCTCCTGTGCCTGCACTAGTCCCACTCCACCCAGCAGCCCTGTGGCAGGGCTGTGGTTCTGCCTAGGGAGAAGTTCTCTCTGCCTGCTCCTTGGCTCCAGCCCGTCCCTCTGACTAGACTGGTCCCAGAGGCAGTGTCATTGCAAAGCTCCTGATGAGATGGGGAGATGGCAAGAGCCAAGATAACAAGGTTCCTTAGTGCGGAGCTGCTAGGAGAACTTCATCTGGGTTGACTTTAAAAGGAGTGGATCAAATCATAGCCTGTCACTCTCCAAGCACTGAATTAAAGCACTTACACTGAATTAAAGCAATTAAACCTCCACTTTGAGCTGGTTTCCACAACAGGTTGTCACCATTCAGTACTTTGCCTTCATTTTACTGAATCTCATGGTGTAGACAAACCTTGGGGGGGGTGAGAGGAGGGGGAGGTGCCTTTTTCTTTTTTCTTTAACTCTCTGTTTCCTTGTTTCCAGCTCCTGGTGAAGTGTGGGCAGTGGGAGGAGACGAGGCAGAGAGTTAATTCCTGACTGTGCCCCCTCCCTTGTGTGGTGGTGTGTGCTGTTTGTTGCTTTGTAGACATGCTTAACAAGCAGGACTGTAAGTACGGGGATAACTGCACCTTCGCGTACCACCAGGAGGAGATCGACGTCTGGACGGAGGAGAGGAAGGGCACCCTCAACAGAGACCTCCTCTTTGACCCCCTGGGTGGCATCAAGCAGAGCAGCCTCACCATCGCCAAGCTCCTGAAGGAACATCAGGGCATCTTCACCTTCCTCTGTGAGGTAGGGAGCTGCTGGAGTCCTGCGTGGTCTCCTCTGGCCGGGTCCGTGCTGTTGATGCGCTGGCGGTTGATGTGGTGGTGGAGGTTGATGGTTGATGTCGTGGTGGGTTGTGCTGCAGGGGGTGGCTGTAAACTCTTCAGAAGGGATAGGCCAGCTTAGAGTCATCATAGAATGTCCAGGATGGAAGGGACCTCCAAAGGTCATCTTGTCCAACCCCCTTGCCATAAGCAGGGACATCTCCAGCTAGATCAAGCTACTCAAAGCTTCATCCAGCCTGATCTTGAATGTCCCCAGGGATGGGGCCTCCACCACCTCTCTGGGCAACCTATTCCAGGGATCTATCACCCTCATACTGAAGCACTTTTTCCTAATGTCTAACCTGAATCTCCCATTTTCTAGCTTAAAGCCATTCCCACTTGTCCTGCCACTCCAAACCCTTGTGAACAGTCCCTCCCCTGCTTTCCTGTAGGCCCCTCTCAGGAACTAGCAGGTTGCTATGAGGTTCCCCCAGAGCCTCCTCTTCTCCAGGCTGAACAACCCCAACTCCCTCAACCTGTCCTCACAGCAGAGCTGCTCCAGCCCTCTGATAATTTTTGTGTCTCTCCTCTGGAGACCTTCCAACAGCTCCAGGTCCTCCTTGTGCTGGGGGCTGCAGAGCTGGACACAGGACTCCAGGGGTATTGGAGGTGTTTTGACTGTGTAGAGCTTTTTAATGGTGATGGTAGGGTTGAGTGTTCATGGGTAAGAACTGGGCCAACAAGGCAGGTAGCATGGTGGGAGTCTTACAGACCACCTAACCAGGATGAAGAGGTAGATGAAATAGTCTAGAAACAGCAGGAAGAAGTCTGACAGTCACTACCACTTGTTCTCATGGGGGACTTCAGTTTACCAGATGTCTGCTGGAAGTACCAGCAGAGGGAACAGCCTAGGAGGTTCCTGGAGGGTGTAAAAGATGATTTCCTGGCACAGCCAGTGAGGGAGCCCACCAGGGAAGGCACCCTGATGGAAATGTTGTTTGTGAACAGAGAAATTGTGGGTGATGTGATGGTTGGAGGCTGTCTTGGGCACAGCATTCATTAAATGGTTAGGTTTTAATTCTTGGAGAAGGAGGGGGTCAGCAGAGCTGCCACCTTGGGCTTGCAGAGGGCAGACTTTGGCCTCTTTAGGAGACTGATTGACAAGAGTCCCTTGCAAGGCAGTCCTGAAGGGCAAAGGTGTCCTGGAAGGGTGCATGTTTTTCAAGAATGGAATCTTAAAGGAAAATGGTTAAATCACCATCCCTGGAGGTATTTGGAAGTCTTGTAGGTGAGGTGCTTAGGGACATAATTTAGTGTTGGACTTGGCTGTGCTGGGTTAGTGGTCAGACTTGATGATCTTAAAGGTCTTTCCAGCCTAATGAATCCTAAGATTCTATATGTCCCAGGCAGTGCCCAGTTCCAAGAAGGGTGGTGAGCAGTGGGTGATCTGTGTAGGAGAAAGAAGAGGTAGTTTTCCTCCTCAGCCCTGCAGCTGGGCAGGGTGCACACAGCCTCATGGGGTCACATGGTCCTTCCTCTGTCTTGAGATGTTGCTCTGTGTTGTAATTTAGCCCCAACTGCTTTAGAAACCAGAATGCCATAAGACAAAAAAATGTGCTGAGCCACTGAGTCAGTTAAGGATTGGCTTGGACCACCTCAATGCTCTGCAGCAGAGTTCCCCACACTGGCAGTGGTGGATGTGAAGGGCCACGTTCTTTGCTGTGAACTGGCAGCTATTTGATTCCTCTCCATCCTTTCCCCCTTGTTCTTGCTCTGTTGGTTAAACAGGGAAGAATATGTGGCTCTGACCAAATTTTTTCCAACCACAATGGAAAATACTGTTGAGAAGAAGCAAAGAAACGTTGTCTGGAAGCTTTTCCAAAAGTTTGCTTGCTTTATTTTAAAGCCCTACCACAAAGTTTTCACCAAGCCTCTTCTAATTTTTAACATGAGAATAGCTTGGCTCTGGTTCCTCCTGCCTTTCCAAGTAAAGTGGCTCTGGTTCAGTGCTCTCTAAGATTTTCCCAGCATGCTAATTCTTCTCTTCTCAGATTTGCTTTGACAGCAAACCCCGGATTATCAGCAAAGGGACCAAGGACACACCATCTGTCTGCTCCAACCTTTCTGCCAAACACAGTTTCCATGACAACAAGTGAGTGAATGGGGGTTTTTTTGAGCAATCTTTCACAAGTCCAGCCAGTTTAACTCCAGGGCCCTGGTCTCTTTCTTTCCTCCCCATGAGTTCCAATCTTAGGGCAGCTCAAAGCAGGATAAACAACATTGTGTGCTTCACCCTCCTGGTGCTGAGGGATTTGGGGCATCAGCAAAAGCCCTTTGGAGCCAACCCAAGTTTTCCATTGGCTTAATTTGCCTTTCAGTTTGGCCCTTACATAAAGGTTAAACCAGAGATCCTCTAGCTCAGGATCCAGCCTCTGGCTGGCTGGTAATGGGTGTTTAGGAAAACAAGCAGCATGTCAAGTACACAGTAATACAACCCCATCTGGTCCTGGCAACCTGAGACTCAGGGACTTGCTGGGGCAGTGGAGTTGATGTCTTTGCTGCAGACTTTGAAATGTGGCTGATCTCTGGACTTAAGTGGTGCATCATGCATGGGCTGAGGAGCTTGAAAATACCCACCTAGGGCTGCTAGGGTGGGAGGACAAGGGTTTGGTTTTCCCAGTGGGACTCTGCCTCTCCAGGAATTGATTTTCCGCATCCTTTGCGCACTCGGTCAAATGTCTGAAAGTCACATATAAGAAGGAGTGGGGTGTGAAGACTTGATCCTCTGATGCTTCCTATTTCTCTGGCATGGCCACAGGTGTCTGGTCCACATCGTGCGTTCCACCTCCCTGAAGTACTCCAAGATCAGGCAGTTCCAGGAGCACTTCCAGTTCGATGTGTGCCGGCACGAGGTGCGCTACGGCTGCCTGCGCGAGGACAGCTGCCACTTCGCACACAGCTTCATCGAGCTCAAGGTCTGGCTGCTGCAGCAGTACTCAGGTGAGCCTCACTCCGTGCTCACGTGTCCTCCAGCCTGTGCCAAGGGCCAGCTGAGAGCAGGAGAGGGTCGTTTTGGGGTGCTAAGATGCTGTCGCTCACTTGTGCGTGTGCCGTCTCCTCGGCCACACAGACAAGAGGGACGAGGTGTTCTCTGAGGTGACTTGGCCCTTGTCCCTTTTGAGGTGCTGCTGTCATTTTCAGCTCAGGAAGCCTTTCCCTTGGGACCAGTTGCCTGAGTTGAACTGATTCTTAGGTAGGGCTGAATCCTCAGAGGTGTTTTCATGCTTAAATTCTGTGCAAGGCCCTAAAGAGCAGTTGGGCTCCTGAGCGAGCGTCTGGCGCAGCGAGCGTGGCAGCAGGCAGGGGTGACAAAGCAGTTACATAAAGGCAGGCTGTGCATCTCCAGTTTCTCTCAACAAATTCACCAGCAGTGGGAAATGACAAGATAACCTGGGATTTCCCAGAAAGGCTTGGATGATGAGCCTCTGAATAGGCTGTTGCATAAATTGCATTCAGGTTACTCATATAACGACCCTGCTCCATGGGGCACTTGGAGTGCTCTGTCTCCCTGACATGCTGGTTAACAGCTCTCCTATGAACTGAGCAGGTGCTGGTCCACCCACAGTGCTGCCTGCACCTTCTTTCACCACAGGGTCTTGTTCAGTGTAGGACCAGCCCAGTCATGGGGGCACTCCAGAGAGGAAGCACGTTCCAGATGTTTCTCACCCTTCTTTGATGTAATTGGGAGCAGTTTCTTTGATTTGTTGTTGAAGCATCTGTCACTGTTGTTCAGTGCACTCTTTGGCCCTGGCTTGGCTCATGAGGGACACTGATGAACAAGTAGCACACTGTGGCAAATGCCATCTTTTATTCTTCCCATTTGACCTCAGTTGTGGCCACAGGAAATTAAAAATCTACACCACCAGAGTTTTGAAGAGAGAATTATGACTTTTAGCTGGAGGCCACTGTTGCTGCCCTACATGCTTATGATACTGCCCACAGTACTCTGGGCACTCTTAATATTTAAGCACCTTGTCCTTTTCTCCACCCTATGATTGGTTTGGTTTTGTTGGTGGGTTTTTTTTTTAGGAAACGTTTCTTTGCTTCCTTCTTCCCTACTTCTATATTCCTTCTTCTTTAGCCTGTAAAAGAAATGTTTAGATTGACTTTTGCTTCTTGCCTTTTTTGCTTGAAGAAGCAATTTCCAAAAGGGAAGCGGAGGAGATGAAACAGACCATGAGCTGAGCTGCAGAGGTGGTCAGTAAGCCTTGTGCCTATTCCCATCTTTTCCAACAAAGGGAGAGCCATCATTTCTCTTCACTTCCTTTTTTCCTGCAGGGCTGTGTGTATGGGCCTGCTTTTCTTGTGATTTCTGCCTTCCTGGAGTGGTAGTTTATTACTGCTCTTAAATGTAGTCCTCATGGAAACAGAGAAGAAAGGTAGTTTTCACCATTCTGTGGGGATGCTTTAGTTTTGCAGCAGAGAGTTTAATTGAGGCACCATTTGCTCAGCAAGAATAGGAAGGGGATATTGTTCATAGCAGCTTGCATTTGAAACCATTGGGCTATTGCAATTCACAGCCATTTGAACTTCTGCAGAGCTTGTGGCTTTGTTCATGGGGATAAAGGATTGTATCAGTGTGGAGTAAAGGTTCCCAAGATCTGAAAATGTGGACAGGCAGGACTGTTTCCTTCTTCACTGGGGCTTTTCACAGCCCTGTCTTGCTATCTTCTTCCATCAGTGGAAATCACAGAGTCTTTGTCCCCACTAATGATGTTGCAAAAGATGCTGAAATGTTATAAGCAATCAAAACATGGGCCTTGTGGCTCCCAGATCATCTCTTGGGACAGTTCATGCTTTGGAGAGCTATTGTGTTCAAAAACATACTTTTATATTTGGGAGGGATTTTTTTGTTCTGACCGCCACATTTATAGATGGTATTGTTGAGTTCATGAAGATTTCTAGGACTGAAAGAAGGCAGTCACTTGCTAAGGACTTGATGTGAAATTCAGCCTTCTGAAGCTGTATGTGCTTCTCTTGTTGGTTCTGCATCCCAAGGATCACAGTGCAGATGTGCAGAGTGGAGCAGATGGGAACTCCTTGGGCCCTTTCTCTGCCAGGTTCAGTGCAGCATGTTAAATTTGTGCTGTGGTTTTCACAGCTTTATAATTTTTGTCCCCAAAGTACAGATCAGTGTTGTGTCCAGACCTAAAATCCTTGGATTCAGGAGGGAGAGTTGCAGTTTTTCCAGCTCTTACACTGTTTGTTCTGGGGATAATGGTTAAGAAGGAGAAAATCCATAAAGAGCTCTGATCTGGGAGTAGTACCAGCTCTGCAGCAGCTGCCATTTTGGAGGCCTGAGCAGCAAATATTCTTAAGAATGGTCAGGTTCTATGAGTGCTTTCCATCCTGTCCAAGCCCTCTACAAACAGCAGTATTGTTGTGTGGCAGGGACCTGGACAGCTGAAATCATGGATGGGGAGACTGAAGTCAGGAGTGCTGTGACTGACCCAATTTACACACAGCCTAAGCCAAGGTGAAAACTTTTGTTTGCAGGCCCTTAAGTTTTGGAACAGGCTGGCTCCCAGATCAAAGATTGTGTCCATGTGGCATGCCTGGGGAACACCTCACTTGAATAACAAAAGCTGTAGGCAGAAGCAAAGCAAGGAATCTTGCATTCTCTCTGTGCTGGGGGTGCTGCATCAAGGCTATCCTCAGCACCCCAGTTGTTGCTGTCAGCTGGCTGTTGTAAGATCTTTGCTTCAGTTTGTTTAGGCAGCTATCTTGGGTCTTTGCAGCACTTGGATACAAAAAAAAAAAGACATTGAGTCCTCACATTGATCAGACAGTTCATACTTTTGCTGTGCAGGGCTCTGAGAATCTTAGTGCCCATCTGGTTGGTGCTGGGGATGCTGTTCCCTCACCACTCGAGTCTTGTCAGGAGCTGATTCCTTAGGTAGGGTCTGAGCAGCCCCTGTTTGAGGTGGCATCTCTGATGGCTGACACCTTGCAGATCTTTCCGTGGTGGTTACATCCTGGCAGCTCTTCCTTGGCTGGTTTTGCACTGTGGGGCTCTCCTGGCTGCCTTGGTTGCAGTTGGTGTTTGTGTGTTGAATTTCAGCTTTCCTCTTTACCTGTTGATTGATGGGCAGCCCCCACAGTTTGAGTGTATCACAGGCTAATTAATCCCAGCAGGGATTAGGAAAGATTTCTGGCTACCTGCCTCAGTGAGATATCTGTGATCTTCCAAACTAGTGGCTAAAACTCCAGTGTGCAGTAGCTGAGCAATAACAAAGCTTTGTCTTCAAGGCCTTGGGGAGTATCTGTTGGTATGGTGCTGGGCAACAGCCCTGGTCAAGGTCTTGACCCCTAGTCAGGAATCCCCTTGGAGGCAGCAACTGGGTCCTTTGCAGACAGCCTGAGCAGAATGCCAGATCTGAATGAGCCCAGGAGAGTGAACTCTTCCCATTTTCTCTGGCTTCTGTGGAGAGAGGAGCTTCCTTAGCCTGTCCTTAAGCATGCAACCCCCTTACAACCATGTCCTGATGTTGCCAATGGGACTGTGGGAGTTGTCAGCCACACAGGGGTTCCTGAGCCCAAATGTAGCAAATCCTCTCACCTTCCTTTCCCTCTCTTCTCTTGACCCAAGCAGGGCAGCTCAGTCCTGTCTCCTTCTGTTCCCAGGAATGACCCATGAAGATATTGTGCAGGAATCAAAGAAGTACTGGCAGCAGATGGAGGCACATGCCAGCAAACCATCCAACAGCATGGTGAGTAAGGTGCATTTGGGGCTTGCAGCCTGGTTTAGCTCCCAACTGTTCCAGCACTTTCTCTGTTTTCCTCCCACTTCTGTGCCTGACAGGTCCCAGGCAGATGAGGCTGCCCACTGAGGAGGAGGACAGCTCAGAGCTTTCCTGCTTGCAGTGCTAACCAGGAGCCTTGTGCCTTGTTCTGCAGCATTATCTGCTCTCATCAGTGGGGGGGTGAAGCCCCCAGAGCAGGGGGGACAATGCTCAGGGAATGGTGCTTCCTGTGACACTTTGCTAGTGAAATGGGGAGATGTTGGGGACAGTGGCCACACAGTGGGGACCAAAGGTGTCCTGCTGCCCTGTAGTGGCAGAGGGCCCACATGGCAACTTGAAGAATGTTAAGAAATGACTCAGTACTCACAGGACTGCTCTGAATCCTGGAGTGGGTGGAACTTGCAGCTCAGGTGCTGCTGAGGCTGGGCAGAGCTCTCAGGGGCTCTTTGCCAGGAGGATGCTGTGAGCTTTGCCTCTCTTTGTGCCACCAGTGTCTCAGTGTGGGAGAAGCTGCCTCTGGCTGCACCCTCCAGCATTGCCAGGAGCTTTCCCTGGAGAAGTGTGTGATAAGCAAAGGGCAGAAGTTTGTCTGCTGTCTGTAAACCCATTGGCTGCAGGTGGAACTGCCTTAGATACATCTCTTTTTTTTTCCCCCAAGGGGATGTTCAGTAGTGTAGGAGCAGAGCCCACCCAGTGAGGACAGTTCCTAGCCCAGCCCTGAAGTTGAACTAAAGCAGTTTTGCTGCTAGAACTGGGAGGTTTTAGTCCTCTCACCCAGGAGTCCTGCAGAGACCAGCACTGAGTGCATGCAGCCTGTGAGCACCCCAAGGAATCGATGTCTTACAGGAAAGGGAGATGAGTCATATGGTGTGGAACAGCTTTTTTTGGCTAGGTTATGGGCTAGGAGAAGTGTTCTGATTACTGTAGGGCACTGAGGCTGGGGAAAAGCAGATCTGATGGGTGTGAGTTAGCAACAGGAGGGGTGGAGGTCACTGCACTGATGCTTGCAGTGGGCTCTCTAGTCCACCTGTGTGCTGGTTATGCTGCATGAAATGGAGCCATAGAATCACAAAATCAAGTGGGTTGGCAGAGACTTTTAAGATCATCAAGTCCAGTCATTGACTGAACACTGCCAAGGTCTCTGGGGAGATGCTCAGCCACATACCTGTGCAGCCCATGCTGCTGTGGTGATCTGGGGGAGAGGAATGAGAAGCAGCAGTCCGGCATGACCCAGGTCTCTAGTTCCCAAAGGCATCTGACTTACTTAAGGTGTATGTTCCAGCCTCTCAGGAAGAGGAGAGGATGACTTTGTACAGCCTGGATTATATGAGAAGTAAGCCTGAATGGTCCCTGCAGACAGAAGTGGCTGTAGTCTCTCTCTGCCTGGTGTGAGGACAGAGGCAGCTGCCTGCATCTCCACAGGGAAGCAAACCAAGTATGGATTTGCAGCAGATTGTGCCAGTAGTTGGGTTTATATCAGCAATCCCTGCCCTGTGAGGGGTGAAACCTAGTGACTGGTTCTGTCCTGACTGCTGTGGGTCTGTCTGCATTTTCCAGACAGCCTTTTCTTGCCATTCTCTGTGCATAATCTGGGGATACAAAAGGTAGGTGGACAGTTGTTTTCCCCTAAGCCTTGCAGCTTCAAACTCACCTTTGTCTGGAGGTGCTGCCTCCAGTCCTTCAGTGGACGTGGCCAGAGCATGCCCTCTGAAGCACGTGGGATCTGGATGCTGAGCAAGAGCTTTTGTTTCTGGCTCTTGGGGCTTGCAGGGGGCAGAGGATCAGGAAAAGAAATCCCAGCACCTGCTCCATCAGCTCTCAGGGGATGGGCACAGAGAGAGCAGCGTGTGGGCCGGCGGCCGACGGCAAAGCGAGGTCGTGGCTCACAGATGCCTTGGCACAGGGCTGGAGTGCACATTCCACCCTTCCAGGGCATCAGTTTGTGCAGGGGTGAAGCAGCAGCCTCATTGTTGGAGTCAGAAGGTGCCTACCAGCAGCAGTCTGGGGGGGTTGGCAGCCTGGCACCGCGTGTGGGGAGATGGAGTCGGGTCGCTCCGACACGTGTCTGCAGTGGCAAACCCTGGCCTGGGCATCTGCACGTCCTCAGCCAGGGGGTTGTGCTTGGGGATGAGACACTGGCTGACTGCTGAAGACCCCGGGGGCAGGACTAACAGTGTCTGTTGAGAGGTGTTTACTTTTGCCATTATTTTCTCCCGCTGACGTGACTCAGTTTTCTCAGCGTCCTTCCAGCTTTTGGAGTTGGCTGCCTGGCAGAGACAGCTTCCCAGGAGTGCTGTGAAAGCAGACCCCTCCTTCCCACCAGCCCGAGTGAGCCACGCTCACCCCAGCACTCTCTGGGCATCAGAAGCAAAGTCACTCCCAGGGACTTTGCTGCTGGTTTTGCCAGCTGGACTCAGTTCACATCGGGGGCCAGCCAGTTGTGGAGAACAGAGGGCAGGCAGCACGCAGGGATCCAGCAGCTGGGACAGTGCAGGTCAGGAAGAAGACAAAGATGAAAATCCACAGCTTGCTAAACACCTGCCAGGGATCTCTCACTTCACCCCACAGATTTGGCCCCATAGAGGCACTGTAGGAGAACACCCAGGGGCTGCAGATGGAAGGAGCAGTCAGCAGGAGAGGCTCTTGTAGGTATCTGCATGTCTTCCCACCTCATCCCTAGGAACTGAGAGGGTTTAGCCCTTGCGTTTTTTTCTGGTTTTCAAGGGCTATTCTGATTGTGCAGAACCCACATAAAAAATGGCCTCAGAATTAGCAATTTAAGCATGGAGAGGAAAGGAAGGTCTGGTAAGGGGTAATTGCACCTAAGTGTGGCTTGGGGAGGAGGCTGGGTAACCTGGGCTCCTCAAGAGACCATTTTGGTGTTGCTGAGAGGGGTTCCTCAAGCTGGGAGGCACGAGTGGCAGTGCTGGGGCTGTTCTCTGCACAGCCTGGAGTGGAGAGTGTCATGCCAAAGACTTTTATTTATTTGGTTGCCATGGTGCCTAGCTAACACTATATTGTCTGGCTTCCTAGCCAGGGGTGGTGCCACAGCCTGAGGCACTTCTGCCTGGCTTCACAGGCTGGAGCCTCATGTGATACTCATTGCTGGTTGTCAGCAGCCTGCCAGGTATGTGTCTTGCCTTTACAAATACAGTCATGTAGCAGCAACAGCAGCAGCTTTGATCTTTTGCTTGGCTCCTAATCCCCCAGGAACATACATGCCCACTGGATTGACCAGCAGTTTGGGTGACTTTGATGCAGCACGGGGCTTCTTTTGGGTAGGAACTGGTGGAAAAAGAAGCACCAGAGTTACCTGAGGAAGGTTTTTCTTTCTCTCTGATCTGTTGGACCTTCTGGAGCCATGCAGTTTTTATTTTTGCTGGGTCAGTAGGTTTGAGCCAGGCTTTCTGGCTGTGCTGAGAGACCTGTTACCTGGAGGATTATGTGTCAGGTAGCATGGGGCTGATAACAGAGTCTTCCAGCAGGGCCATTTGGTCACCTGAGGCCTGTAGGTTTGGTGGGTCAGTGGCAAGCTGGAGCATAATTTCCTTTTAGAGACCAAGTGGAGAGTAGAAGTACTGTTCAAAGGCCACACATCTGAGAGGGAGGCACCTTCCTGCCTGCTGTGATATCCCAGGTCTCCACCCTGCTTATCCCACAGCCAGCTGCTTCAGTGTATTCTTAGTGGTCTTGGTGGAGGTTAGCAGCCAAAGTGTTTTACTGGGATGTGGTCTTTGTGCTTTACTGTCAGCAAAATGTGTTCAGGGGGTTTTCTTGTACCCTCACTGTGCCCATGGCCACTGGTGTCCAGTCAGGTTTGCTCTTTGGTTTGGAGACCAACTGGAGACGCCAGCCTCATGTCTTCCTGTGGTGATACAGAATGCACACAGGGCTCTAGAGATTTGCTGAGAAAACATGAGGCAGTGCTGATATGGGACAGGCTTCTCTATTTTGTTTTTGTTTTTTTTTTATCCACAGTCCTAAGCCCAAAATGGCCTTCTCATGAGTACAGGTAGAAGGGCAGTTAAGTGAATTGGCTGGGGGGGGGTGAAATGGGTGCATTGATGGTTGTACCCATGTCCAGAGATGGTGGTTAACTGCCTGCAAAACCCAGTGCAAAGAAACTGTGAGAGATGGAAAGGTGCCCAGGGACAGAGCAGGGGGTCCTGTGCTGTGGCACGAGCTGCCCTCCTCCCAGGGGGTCTCTCTTGACTGTGTGACTGCTCTCTCTCCACGGGGAGCAAGTGGGGGGTGGATTACCCTCCCCAATGGGGAGTAAGCACTGGGGCAGGTCTCACAGAGCTTGTCTGCACACAGAGATAGGCTGCAGGGGTGTCCCAGCCATGCTTCTGGCCAGGAGACCATGCTGAAGCCAGCCATGGTTTTGTTCCTGTCTGGTATCTCTGGGCCCCCAGCTCAGGCTGGCAAGGGGGAGCTGAGCTGTCTCCAATTTCAGATGTTTCCCTGAGGTTGTGGTTCTCTTCCCCAGGCTTCTTCCCGGGCTCCCACATCAAGCACCTTTGACCTCCAGATGAAGTTTGTTTGTGGCCAGTGCTGGAGGAATGGGCAGCTGGTGGAGCCAGATAAAGACCTCAAGTACTGTAGTGCCAAAGCCCGCCACTGGTGAGCAATGCAACCTTCTCTTTCCCCCACCTCTCCTCGAGGGCAGGGATTTCTCTGTCCCTTCTGCAGGACTTCCTTTGGCCTTTTTGGAAGAGGCTGGAAGGTTTCCTAGCAGTCTCTTGCTGCTGGAGGCGTTTGTCACTGGAGCAAGCACTGCAGGCAGCTGCTTGCCAGTTCCCAGCTCTTTCCTTCACTGTTTGCACAATGCTGGCAGCAAATACAGACTGTTATTCCTCATGGTGCATGCAGCTCATATTCCTGGTGTTATTCCCAGCTCCCACAATTCCCTTTTTTCCTCAGTTGCTATAATTTCTTCTTAGCAAAGTCACTCGTACAGTTCTCCTCTGCACTTGTTTATACTCCTGGCTGCTTGCAGATGTCTCTCAGGTCACTGTTAGCAGTGGGGCCAGGTATTCTGCTTCCTTTTAAATGAGTTTTCTTGGCTCTTTCATTGCTTTGGTTGCTTTTCTCTGGTGCATGGCTTGGCTGTTTGCATCTCCTGGCTCCTTAGGTACCATGAGAATGTTCAGTGTGATGGAATCACAGAATGGTTTGGGTTGGAAGGGACCTTTTAAAGGTCATCTAGTCCAACCACCCCTGCAGCAAGCAGGCTTGTCTTCAACTAGATCACATTGCTCAGAGCCCCATCCAGCCTGAGCTTGAATGTTTCCAGGGATGGGGCACCTACTAAATCCCTGGATTGTTCAAGTCTTTCAGCACCCTCATTTAAAAAAAATTATCCTTATATCTAGTCTAAATCTACCTTCTTTCAGTTTAAAACCATTGCCCCTCATCCTATGACTACAGGCCCTACTAAAAGCTTGTCCCCAGATTTCTGATAAGCTCCCTAGAAGAGGAATATCAGCTGGGTTGTCACCACTGGGGCATGGGGACCTTGGCCTGTCTCACTCAGGCAGCCTGGCAGGACAGAAGGGAAGGGGTTGCAGGACTTCACCTCCCATAACACGAGCCAGAGAGGCACAGTCCAGCATCCTGTTGGAAATGTAGGAGCTTGGATGAAAAAGAGACAGAAGCAGCAGTTGCTGGAGGTGGGAGCAGGTGAGGATCACTTCCTGGAACAGGAAGGATAACACTTCTCTGTACAGCTGCTGACTGGAGCTGGGGGCTTTGCCCAGGCTGTCTTTTGGCCATCACTTACTGGTGATGCTTCCTAGTGCCTGTTTGTAAGACAGTGCTTGTGATGGCTTGGATTTCTGCTGCACCCTGCAAACACAAAATATTCCCAGATGTTTTTCCTCTCATCACAAGAGTTGGCTGTGTGTAATCCATGGGGATGCCATGAGAGACCTGAGGGAGAGCTCTGTGGCTTTCTGAGAAGAGACATCCCAGGAAATCCATGAAAACTACAAGGGAGAATCCTCCTAAAGACCCTTTTTGTGTCTTCTCTGTCAGATGTGCATATCCGGGAGTATATTGAAGGGTCTGTGAGGAAAACAAACCCTTCCTTTTGCTTCTCTTGATTCATTCTCTCTCCCTCAGCTGGACGAAGGAGCGTCGGGTCCTGCTGGTGATGTCCAAAGCCAAGAAGAAGTGGGTGTCTGTCCGGCCTCTGCCCTCCATCCGCACCTTCCCCCAGCAGTATGATGTAAGGCCCCTGCCTGGCACTGCCAGGGGCCCCTGCCCTTTCATATGCCAGGGCCTGATGTGCCAGAGGGACCTGGACAAGCTGGGGAGGTGGGCTCAGGGGAACCTTGTGAGGTTCAACAAGGCCAAGGGCAGGGTCCTGCACCTGGGGAGGGGCAACCAACGTGACCAGTACAGGGTGGGAGAGGACATGTTAGAGAGCAGTCCACTGGGAAAAGACTTGGGGGTACCAGTCAATGAGAAGCTGGAGATGAGCCCCCAATATGCCATGGCAGCCCAGAGGCCAATCCCAGCCTGGGCTGCATCCAAAGCAGCGTGGGCAGCAGATGTGCAGAGGGGATCCTGCCCCTCTGCTCTGCCCTGGGGGAACCTCCCCTGGAGTCTGTGTCCAGCTCTGCAGCCCCCAGCACAAGGAGGACCTGGAGCTGTTGGGAGGTCTCCAGAGGAGAGAGAAAAAAATGATCCAAGGGCTGGAGCAGCTCTGCTGTGAGGACAGGCTGAGGGAGTTGGGGCTGTTCAGCCTGGAGAAGAGGAGGCTCTGGGGGGACGCTATAGGGACCTTCCAGTGCCTGAGAGGGGCTACAGGAAAGCAGGGGAGGGACTGTTCACAAGGGTTTGGAGTGGCAGGCCGAGGGGGAATGGCTTTAAGCTAGAAAATGGGAGATTTAGGTTAGACATTAGGAAAAAGTGCTTTAATATGAGGGTGATAGATCCCTGGAATAGGTTGCCCAGAGAGGTGGTGGAGGCCCCATCCCTGGGGACATTCAAGATCAGGCTGGATGAAGCTTTGAGTAGCTTGACCTAGCTAGAGATGTCCCTGCTTGTGGCAGGGGGTTGGACTAGATGACCTTTGAGGTCCCTTCCATCCTGGACATTCTATGATTCTGTGATTCCCTTTCCCTCCCACCATGGGGCAGTGCTTTGAGGGCTGGCCCCCTGTAGACCTGGCAGGGAGGCAGACAAGTGTTGGCTGAGGTGGGAGGAAAGGACAGAGAGAGTCATGACAGCAAGATCTCAAACACATCCAGCAAAAGGATGAAGCAGAGGAAGGAGCAGCACCACTTGACACACATCTGCAGGTTTCTGGGGTGGCTGTTGATGCAGCCACCATCTCGAGATGGGGCTGGCACAGGGTTTGGGAAGGAGATTTAAGTCTCCCCTTAGGTCAGGGTTTCTCAGTGTGGGAGGGAGGTGGAGTACTTGGGAGAGGCCTGGCCCTGCCTTTGCTCTGGCTGTGGACTGTGAGAGTTGCTCATGGAAAAGAGCCATGAGTTAGTGACCTCTGAAGTGTCCTGTTTGCAACCTCTCCCGTGGGCAGTTTAATATCCCAGATGGGTTTTTTGCCCCTCTGTTTTTTTTGTCCCAGTTCCCCTCTAGTGAGGAGTGTTTGTGGAGGTGCCAAATTTTCCTCTCTGTCTTTCCACAGTTGTGTATCCACGCCCAGAATGGCAGGAAGTGCCAGTATGTGGGCAACTGCTCCTTCGCCCACAGCCCTGAGGAGAGAGACATGTGGACCTTCATGAAGGAAAATAAGAGTGAGTGGGGGAAACAGGGGCCACCAAGCTCTCTGAATCCACCCTGTGCTGTCACTCCAGTTGCCTGTGCTTTCCCATGCCCAGCTCCATCTGGAGCTCTGCCAAAGCACCAGTCCTGACCTGCAGCTGCTCCTCTAGCCTCCTTGTCTGGCTTGTATCTGCCTTGGCTTTCATGCCCATTTCTGCTCATATCCCTTGCTCCTGGGCTTGGGCACTCCCTGCTCATGGCATTGTATTCAAAGGGCTGGATTTGAGATCTTGTCTGAGAACATGGTTGGGTGGTGCCTCTGTGGAGGAGCTTGTTTGGAATTAATTATGCAGGCTCCCGGCTGACATTATTTGGGGGAGCTGGGGGTTGCCTGTGCCCTGGGCTGCCAGCTCTCTGGCAGCAATCTTTGGTTTTTTTTCAGACCAACAGCAAGCTCTTTGCAAGGCCCAGTTGTCCAGGTGCTCACCCAGCTCTGTTGGGACATGCTGGAAAGCTTGAAGGGTTTCAGTTGTGCCCTGAGTTTGTTTGGTCTTTGTGCTTGGATGGAGACTCTTCTCCAAGAGCCTGAGCTGCCTCAAAGGCTGTTATTTGGTAAGGTTCAAGTAACCTTGTTGCTGAGGCCTTCAAAGCACATCAGACCAGTCTGGGTGTGTTTGCTCCAGCACCAAGGTGAATCTTCAAATGACAGCGTTGTTTCAGTGGGGAAAAATTTGCATTAATTATCCCAAATTGCCTTGAGTTCCTCAATTACCCCTTTAGTGAGGGGTAAATCACTGAGGCATCCCACTTGCAGCATCTCATCAGTGTCTGCAGACATACAGGAGCTCATCTTGGAAAAGCAGATGTGCAGTCAAAGCTTCCACCCAAAATTTCCCTTACTACCAGTATCTGGAGTGGGTTTTAAACCAAAAGCACCAAGAGACATGGATTACACTCCTGGGCAGGTTTTGAACAGGAGACAAGCTATTCTCAGGTCTTCCTCCCCAGTGCTTCCCCTGGGTAGCTTGCTTGGGGCTCTCCTCCATCTTGAGTGCTGAGGATGAGGATTAGGCTTAGAGGGAGGGGAGGGATCTAAACCCATCCCCTCTCAGCTCCCTGGCTGGGGTGAGCTGTCTGCTAAGGTCAAGCAGAATCAGCCCTGATGGAGAATCACCCTGTGGCTCCAAGTCCAGGGGAGTCTTGGGGCCCTTTCCCTGCTTCCTGAAGGCCTGGTGTGGCTGCAGTCCCCGTTGCCCCTCGGCCCACAGAAGATTCCTTGCCACACCAGGCAGCGTGGTGTGAATTTGGTTCCACTCCCCAGGCCTGTCACCCGGGGAGGTGACATTGGGCCTCTCGAGCAGGGGAAGGGGAGGGCTGCCCCAGAGCTGCCCCTTTTCTTGTCCTTTGGGCATGGTGGGGGAGGCTGGCTGAGCGACTCCACGGGTCACCTCTGTGCAGTACTAGATATGCAGCAGACCTACGACATGTGGCTAAAGAAACACAACCCTGGGAAGCCTGGAGAGGGGACACCACTCACCTCCAGAGAAGGGGAGAAGCAGATCCAGATGCCCACCGACTATGCTGACATCATGGTAATCAGCTGAGCTCTTGTCCTTTGCCTCTCCTCCTCTTCCTCCTCCTCCTCCTCAGGGCTGGCAGCCTACCCCTCCCCTGTGCTCCAGGTGGAGCTACTGCTCTTGGGGGAATGAGCCCCTGCTAAATGGGCAGCCTGGAGCAGCACAACAAGGGCAGCACAGATGAGGTGGGTAGGGATTGGCCCAGGGTCAGCAATGCTCTGCAATGGCTTTTCTGTTAATCCCCCAGTCAGTAAGAGTCTAGCTGGGGTTCCCTTTTGAGTGGGCTCAGCCTCCACCCAGGGTTCCTGCCCACTCCTGGGAAAGCTGGCAAAGCCACTCCTGGCCTGCTGAAAAAGAAGAAACTTGGAGGAGAGGAGAGTCTGGAGTGCAGAGGGCTGGGAAAACAGGAGGCGGATGTCCCCTTAGCTCAGGGGTGGTGGCTGATTGAGGGGTTTGTGCTCCTGAAGAGTCCAGCATTGCTCTTCACCTGGGGGCCTTGCAGGCAGAGCCCACCCGGGCTGGGGGCAGGGGCACCACGTCGTTGGACTGAACTGCCCTGGTCCCTGAGCCCTTCTGAGCTGCAGGCAGCCTGGGCAGAGCCTCTGCTCTGCTCCCCTTTAGTTGGCAGCACGGTGCCTTAACGATGACGTTGGGGGGGGTCATGGACTGAGTGGAGCTTCCGGGGGGCTCTGGAGGAGATGGGGAGAGGGAGGGCTGGTAGGCGTGACTGTGGAGGCACTGACTGGCCCTTTGCCCTGTCTGCACTGCTTAGATGGGCTACCACTGCTGGCTCTGCGGGAAGAACAGCAACAGCAAGAAGCAGTGGCAGCAGCACATCCAGTCTGAGAAGCACAAGGAGAAGGTCTTCACCTCAGACAGTGACTCCAGCTGCTGGAGCTACCGCTTCCCCATGGGCGAGTTCCGCCTCTGCGAAAGGTACCTCAGCTCAGCTCTGGGGGACACTGAGGCTGCTCCTGCACCCCAGAGGTGCTCGGCCACGCTGCTGGGTGCTGCAGATGCCTTCCTGAGCACGTGTCTTTAGGAGAGGAGAGGGAGCTTCCTGCCTGCCCCCATGTCCCCCACAGCCAGGACGCCCTGAGCTCTTGGGGTGCTGAGCAGTCTCCTTGGCCCCATGCTCGGGGGAATCCTGGGTGCTTTATTAGATGGTTTGGATGTCTCACACCCTCTGAATCAGCACCTTGAGGTGTCTTCAGAAGGCTTGTGATGGATGGTTAGAAGAGCTGTTTTGGTTAGAGAGGAGGCTCTGTCTCGTGTGGCTGTTAGGGGCATTTCCTCCCTTGTGTGGTGGTTTCTCATCATCCCTGCTGGTCCAGTTCCAGCTCATGTTGTTTCCTTCTGCTGACTAAATCCCCTCGTAGACGTTGCTCTGTTTGCTGCCCTGTTCCTGTGCCCAGCCTCCACCTTCCACGTGGCTTTGTGGGAAGATCTCTTTGCCCTTAGAAAGGCGAGTTTGCCCCGCTCAGAACCCCACCCTGCCGTTGCCCTCCTGACCTCTCCTTGTGCCAACAGGTTCCAGAAGAGCAAGACCTGCCCTGAAGGGGAGGAGTGTCGCTGTGCCCACGGCCAGGAGGAGCTGAGTGAGTGGCTGGACAGGAGGGAGGTGCTGAAGCAGAAGCTGGCCAAGGCCCGCAAGGACATGCTGCTCTGCCCCAGGGACGACGACTTCGGGAAATACAACTTCCTATTGAGGGACGGGGTCTAGGCGGGGCTGGGGAGGCAACAGGGGGTTTTCCCAGAGAGGTGGCAGTGGGCAGAGCGAGGTGGGTGTCTGGCCACCAGAACTTTCTCTTTTCTTTCATTTCAAGATGACGAGACGATGATTTCTTAGTGGTGAACGAAATCATGGATTTGATTCTCCTTGGCCAGCGAACGCCAAGCTCACCCAATTTGTGATCCATCTTCTCTCTCTTCTTTCCCCCAAATTCTTTCCCATCTTTCTGTTTCTGCTGTCCCTTCATGGAAAGGAATGAATCTGATCTGTATTGGGATGCGAATGGGAGAATTTCCCCTTGTGTCATTCTCCTGCCCTTTAATTCAGAGTGTGGCTGCGGAGGTCTGGAGGACAAACCTGAGAGAAAGGGACAGAGAGCTGCTGAAAAGGTGACCATGAAGTTCATGTGCTCCTTTTCTCAGTGCTGCAGAGCTGCTGCAGCCAGCCTGCTCTCCTGAGAGCTCAGGACCAGAAGAATTAGGAATTGAGGTGCAAAAGAAGCCAAACCACCAGATCTCACTTAAAACCTCTAGGCTTGAGCTCCTGCTGTCTGTGTTGCCCCAAGGCATCAGCTGCTGCTGGGGAGGGTAACTCTCTCTGGTATAGTGTAGCTAAAGTCATAAAATATAAGTCATAAAAGTCTTTTCAGCAGCAGGCACTGCACTGTAGGTGACTTCAGACTGTTTCTGTACCCCAAGAGCAAATCAGTGACTCCTCCTTAGCTGTGTTTATCAGTGTGCGACAGGTATTCAGGGTGGGTAGTTTATTTCTGGGTTTTTGGCTGGTGTGACTGGGACAAGTAAGACTGAAGCCATCTGGAAGGTGTGGTGGAGGCTCCTCATGCCCTGTGTCCCTGTAGCACCATCAGTCAGGATGCAGTGACCAGAGGAGCTGGTGTTTCTGTGTCTGCTTGGGTCCTGAAGAGGGAGAGGTGACAGGGTTCCCTTCTTGCTCTGTAACTGGGGTGTCACTGGTTATCTAGAGCTGCCCTTGTCCCCATGCTGCCAGAAGAACTGGGTGGGGACACCTTTAAAAGGACACCCATTGAGCAGGCTGGGTGATGCTTTCGTGGTGGAAATCCAACTGGAAGGGTGCTGAGCAGCACCAGAAGTCCAGCACCCTCCTGCTGAGAGCTGGGAGCTTGTGGGGATAGAGTGCAGCCAGGATGTGACCCAGGGCAGGGACTGCAGTGGAGGGTGAGTGGCACAGCAGGACGTGGCCATGGACCTGCTCCTGTCCCACCTGATGTGTGCCACAGTGGGGGAACCAGTGATGCTGAGCTCTGGGAGAAGGTTTTGGGCTTTTATAGTGAGAGGCAGCTCTGCTCTGCCAGCCTGGTCCTTTCTGGCAGTTTCATCCTGCAAGCAGTAAACACATCTTGTCCTAAACTTCCCTCTCCTCTCTTCTGCAGTCCAGCTGCTCCCTGCAGTTTTGCATGCATGGGTGGCACCATCCACTCAGACACAGACACGTCTCCTGCCCAGCCTTTGTGAGGGATGTTTTTTTTTGTGCAGAGCCTCCCAGGATAGCAAGCTCAGAGCCCTTGGGGCTGGCAGTGCTGTATCCATGGCCAATACAATCTGGCCATGAGTTACTTGGTGCTTTGGCATTGCCCCTTTTCCCTCCCTGCTCCCATATCCATGGGATTCCCAGCCTCAGGAGAGGTGGAACGTGGAAATAGAGGAGCTGGGGAAGTGCAGGAGGTGTGGGGGCAGCTGGCACCTTTCTAAACCAGCCTCTAGGTAGGTGCCTCTGCTCCACTGGCATCATTAAAGCCAAGGAGCAGAGTGCACTGCGTGCTGTTCTGGGGTCTTTCCAAGGATACTCTGTGCTCCAAGGAAGCTGAATGTGCCTCTGAGCTTGTTTTCCCTCCTTAAAAATGTGGGTGGTGGTCACTGGTTTGGTATGAGCTTCCCTTCTTAGCTGTACAGCACCTCGAGGTCTGGCCTGGAAGGGGCCAGGACTAAAATGTGATGATGGAGAGGTGGCTTCCTGGGAGAAGAGGGGAGGAGGTGGTTCTTTGGCTCTCTGCCCACATGTGGCTGTGAGGACAAGGTGAGGTGGCCCTGTGGGGAAGGAGAGTGACCAACACAGCATTGGCCATGGCAGCTCTGCAGTGCTAGGGGCTGAATTTCTCCCCTGCCCTCACTGTTGCTGTCCAGCTCCTACCTTCTCCTGGTGCTCCTGCTCAGCTGGTGAACTTCCTAACTGAGAGAGACCAGGGAGGAGGCAGGAATCAGCTCCTGGCTTAGCTTGTGCAGTCCTCAGGCAGAGATACCAAGGGAGCAGATCTGGATTAGGGGATGTCAGAATGTGTTTATTTCTGAACCAGACCCACATCTCTAGCAGGACTGTAGCATTCCCTGCACCGTGGGGTCTCTTTGGGGAGGTTCCAGAGGGGGTCACTGTCCCCTCTCCCCAGCTCTGCCCTGGGAGCTGAGCTGCTCAGCAGGGCTGCAGAGGTTCAGAGCAGGCGAGGGGGTCACAGGGCTTCGCATCGAGTTTCTCTCCTTAGTTTTCCCTGAGCTGATAACCTGGTCTGTGGTGTTGCAGTACTTTGTCCCCAGACTCGTTTTAGTGTGTATATATGTGGCCCCTCCCATGAAGCATATATACACAGGTATTAAATATATAATATTTCTCTATATAATATGATATGTGTGTGGTATCGAAGGGATCTTTGAAATGAGGGTAAAGGAAAAGGACTCAGGCCAGGAAAAGCAGCATCTCCAGTTTAAATATGAAGGCTTTTATTGGGGTGAGGGAAAGGGAACTAACAAAGAGGGGAGGGTTTTATATAGATAGTATAAATTTAGAGATGGGACAGGTTTCCCTGTTGACATTTTTTAAACCCCCTAGGATGTCCTCGTGGTCCCATCTCAGTGAGTATTATACTGCTAATTAGCAAGTAAAGTTTTAATGATAAGGCTTTGCTTCTATTATTTAAAGGGATGTTGTGAAAGGCTTGAAGCTTCACCCTAGACTTCCCAGGCTCACTTTATCAAGCCAAGAGGGTTTTCCTCAGCAGAAAGGTGGTTTTCTTGCTCGTGGCTCTGCAGCAGACAAACCACAGGTTCAAAGTGCTGCTTTGGTGGTGTGTTTGCCAGACCCCGTGATAACTCTCTCTTTAATTCATTCTCATGAGGGGAAACAAGAACATTTTGCAACACAGAGCCCAGTTTGGGGGTTATTAACAGAAAAAGCTATGTTTTAAGTTTATAAGATTAGAAGAAAATCTCCTATCTGATAAAAGGATCTCACACAGCACGGAGATTTTTATTTAGATCAACTTGTTAAATGCTGAATGAGATAAGTAAAAACCTTTTCCCACATGCTTTGGCAGGGGCAGGGATTTTAAGTGTGGCTGGTGTTGGGAGTTTAACCTGACCTTTACCAGGGGAAAGGGGAAAAAAACCACCCTACTTTAGCTTGTATGAAACTGTATGTCAAAAATTGGATGGGTTTTAGCAAGTGAAAGGAGAAGACAGCAAGGGGATGCTGCAGTTCTGAGCTGGGTAGTAATGATTTTGAGTCCTTTAATATGTTTCTGTATTAATATAATTTAAGAATACCACGCTTTACTATTAAAAAAAAAAAAAGAACTTAGTATCTTTCATAAAGTCTAGTATCGGGATAATAATGTAGATGTTTTAACAACACTTTTGGTTTTGTTCTTAAATAAAAAAGAAAAAAAAGAGACTTGCTTCTTTTAGCCTCTGGAATAGAAAATAAAAGCCTGCACTTCAAACCCTCTCCTGATCCAGCACATGCTGGCAGTTTTCAAATAGCCCTTCAGAGGCTTTTCCTTATGGCTTCAGGTTCCCCTGCTGCAAGGGGGGAAGCCAAGGGAGCACCTGAAGCAGTGGATCCCTTCTCCTTTCTCCAAGGGGCTTCCATGGGGGTCTCTGGTGGTTCCTGGTTGTCTTCCAAGACAAGTTTGCTCAACCTTTTGGGCTCTTCTTTCTGTGCTCCTGAGTTGCCTCATCCTTTTGTTCCCAGCAGTCCTTTGTTCCCTTACCTAGGTTTGGGGACTCTCTTGGTGGAGCTGCCTTTGCTGACAATTGCTCAAACCAAGGATTTCTTTTTGGTGGTGGTTTACAACACCCCCAAACCACCAAGGCTGTGCCTGCTCCACCTTAACACATCATTCCAGGTGTTTGGGTACCAGGTGGTGTTTTCAAACCTCCAGGAATCAGGTCTTGTGACCCCCCCTCATCTGGAGGGTGTTTGCTGGGTAGGCTGCTCCATTCAGCTGGGTCAGCCAGTTCCAGTTCTCCTTCCTGCCAAGGAAGATCCCCTTGGACCTGCCCACCAGGTCACCAAGAAGCAGATTCCCCCTGGAGGGGATGCTGTGTGGTGAAGATCCTACCTAAGGGAAGGTCCACGGGAAAACAGTTGCTGATAAAACTGTTTATTTTTCAAATCCATGGTGATGCAGATGAATCTCTTCTTCTAAGGTTCTGTACATACAACATGAGAGGCTTTAGTTTAACCCTCCACAGACTGAGGTGCTGACAGGAGTGAGGGCACCTTCTCCACTACAACGGGGACCAAAACTGTCAAATTGTGAGGAGAAAAACGAGTGTTTTCTTTCCAAGTTTGAACCTCAGCTGTGAACTTCTCACTGGTCTTTTTTCATTGAAAACAGACATCTTTTGAAGAGGCAGGGAAGGAGGGTTGACTTCATGTCCTCCTAGGAACCTCTGCAGGTACAAAGATGAGGAGGAGAGCCAGGAAAGATCCAGGTCCAGTGGAGGGTTGGGAGGAGCAGGGGTGGAGACCCCGGAGAGGTGGGAGGAAGGCTTCCCGCTCAAGGCCTTCCCTGTCATCACAGGGCAGCCTGGCAGAGGGAGGTTGCTTTGCAAAGCCTGGGAGCTGCAGGTGGGAGCCCTCAGCAAGGCTGTGACTGAGTCTGCCCACGCTCCAGGGAACACCTCTGGGCAGTGACAGCAGATGATGCAAGTGCTGTCAGCACTTTTCATTGTTTGCTG